GGCCCTGTGGGGGATCTCAACTGGTGGTGGGCGCGTATTCCCGCGATATCACGGCCAATCTCACGACCTCATTTAGGGCAATGATTGGATCTGCTTTTCCGACGGTCTCACAGCCGGGACTGTAGGACACGCCGCCAGCGCAGGCGGCCTTGGCGAGGAGCCCAGGATCGCGGCGCGTTGGGGAACGAAGAACGGTGATGGAGCGGCCTGTGAAGGACAGGACTGAACGTCGATCATGGCCCATGGGACGCTTTCAATAGCGTCCAGGACGTTTTGTCAGATCTGATCTACCGTGTTCGGCTGCCTGTGCACTTGTACTGGCTACAGTTACCGGCAGGTGACTGTCGAGACACCTGGGCTCATGACACAAGGAAGCTGAACGAGGTGCGGTCCGATCAGACTGCAGATCGAGTACTCCTACAGTGCTGGGAATCGATTCATCGTTCTTGCACACTCTTTAGATAAGAACTGTCCGTGGATGCTACTAGCCTACTAGAATGATTCACCACATTCATTTCCGAAGATGTGTCCAGCTACTGATACAAAAGGTTTTGCTGCCAGCTTGTGTCAACTGCACTTTAATAGTTAACCCGGGCCCTCGTGCGGTGCACTGAAGCAGAGCACAACCAGTACAGCTGGGCTTCGGTGACAGACTGACTGGCGAATTCGATGCATGATATGGATGGAAGCATGAACAGTACGAGCACTGACACGTCCGGTTTGTTACAGCCAAGGACGCATCTAGAGTACAGTAGTCCGTATTCGCAGCTCTGCTCAAGAACCAGCAGTTACAAACTCTTTTTTTTCTAAAAAAAAAGACATGAACAATTACGGTCCGTTCGGCTTGCTGAATCTTGATTAAAACTGACTGAAAAACACTGTTCTAACTGAATTGTTGTGAGAGAAAAACATTATTTAGGTTGAAAAAACAAACTGATCAAGCCGAATATTGGGTGAGTCGAATGGGGCCGTACATCTTCAAGCGCCGGAATAATCGCAACTGGCCGGCTCATGTGCTCGATGGCCCTCGGTCATTTTCAGTGGTCCCTGTCGTGGCCTTTAAGGACCGGAGCACGCTGACGCTGACTTGCTCACTGACCGGCTGTCGTCGAGCCCGGGCACGCCTTGTGTTTTCGTACACACGAGGAGGCATGGGCACGGCATGTGCGCTGCACGGAGCTCCATTCATGGCGCAGTCCCCGAACGCCCGGAAATCGGCGAAGGCGACGGCCGCGGCTGGGGCCCAGGTGTGGTTGAGGTCGGTGAAGGCTCCAAGTCGCAATGCCATCCCAACACGGGCAGGATGTTGGTGTTCGAGCGGAGGCCGGGGTCGCGGCTAGGGTGCAAAATCGCGCGGGGCTGATCCGAACACCGGCTCCGCGCGCGGCAACCTGACGGACGCACAGAACTGAGAACGAGCAGGCCCCCGTGGCAGGCTTTTATGCTGGAAAAGGGCACGGGAACGGTATTTCCGGCTGCCGTCTCTCGGCAGCAGCTCCCAACTCCCCAAGCTCCAAATGGCGTGATGGCGCCGGTCGCCGTCGAGATCATTGTCGTTGGCAGTTCAGGGTTTTAACTAGTACGGCACGATCAACTGCTTGATGGTAGCCAGAATGTTAAACGGAAAGCACGCAACGGAGTTGTCAAGAAGTTGTAGCAAGCAAGGGTAAAGCTCACACCTTCCTTTGGTCCACACTATCATCGAACAGATCAAACCCGTCGATGCAGCACGTTGATTCGCCCGTGCTCGGCCACGGCATCATGTCATGCCTGCAACAACTCTAGGCGTGTCCACAGAATCAGAGGTTCAGAGCTGTAGTACAATGTTGTCCAACTCCAACGTATGATAGCCTCCTGCTCTTTTTCTTTACCGGAGGATCGCATGAATACACACAATGATGTCGTTATTACTCTACTCATGTCGTATCAGGGCCGGTTTCAGTTCTGGAATTATTGAGTTAGGAAACGGGGGCACAGCCGGATTGGAACACCGGATTCAGGGAGACTAATTGATGAAACCCATTGGGCATTCATTCATTCACTGGAAACGGGGCGCGGCGTTGCCGCGCCTGCCCTCGATACCTCCTCTAGATTTGACTAGTATTGCAATGGATAGCAGAACATAGAAATATACTGGGAAGACAGTTGATAGTTCACTATTTATACCTAAATGAAGCACAGAGGATCACATTGAAATGAATTTCAGAACTATGTAATATGCTCTTTGAGGGAGTATAAATGTTTTGTTCCTTAACAAAGAGAAGGGATTGTTCAGATAATGATATATTATTGAGGTGCAACTTTATTTGTTTATATAAAAGGCTTTGTTCCGATGTCTTGGAGAACCTGCAATTAGCCATGTATGTGAATTGGAAAATGAAAAGGAAGAGCCACATGTGAAACAACCTGCACCATTTCCGGATTACAAGGTATGATTGTAATTTATGAGCGTGAGGCGTAGACACCAGTAAAGAGTTAAAATTTCTGGTCAGAGGCAGAAGAATATGCTCCTAAGTTTCTATCATGATCTTTTTTATGAAGAATAAAATATAATTACTTCGGGAGTATAAAAGATTTGCACCGCCGCGCCTTCCCTTTCGATTAGGCCAGTGGCAATAAGAATATAGGTGTAGTGATGAGAAACTCAGCAATTTTTTATTCATTTTATGATTTTTATGTATTTTCGAGACTTTATCATCATGAATGTATAATTTTATTTACCCCTAAAAAGCATAGGTAAAAGTTTATATGAAAAATTTCTTACTAAAACATGCCATATTATGGAAGCACAACATAGTTCTACTCGTGAGGATTTCAGATCAACTTGATTTTCTAATTTACAATTTTTCTGTGATTTACTATGCAATTTTAAAGTTTTAGCTATTTTTAAAAAAAAGAGATATAATCAAAGGTAGCTTGAATGTTGATTTGAGAAAAACCTTAGGAGGTTTTCGCAAAAATTGTTGAGAGGGTCTCTAGAGCGCGGATTGATTTTCGATAAAGAGAAGGTCTTGTTTGCAAAAAACCAGTAGCCCATCCCATATAGACTGCGGGTTGATTTCGAAATAATCCGAGGTGTTTTTTGAAAAATATACTGAGAGAGCCTCTGGAGTATGGGTTGATTTTTGAAAAACAGAAAGGTTTTTTTGGCAAAATGACCGCTGCTCGTCCGATCTGGGCCGCCCACACGCCCGATCCAACGGCCTCGAAAAGCAGGCGACGTGACCACGCTGCCTGGCCCTGCCGGATTCATATAAGAAGATGGCACTGAAAGCGCTAGCACCGCTCTGAATTCTGCTGCCCGGCAACACGTGTTGATCCAACGAAGATTACACGTGCCGCGATACAGATTTACAACCAGAGCCGCTGTTCTATTCACACCGGGTATCTAGTCTTGTTCGATTTGTATCGCCAGATCCATCTACGCATTACATTGAGCAGGTGATATACGCAAGGACCAACAAGCGAAATTTCTGCTGCGACACTGACACGACTCGCAAGCGTCCGACCTATGGACCACAGCAGCAGCGCTCCCGTGATCCCGTGGCGGAATAATTTTATGGCGCGGCTCCACGAAAGCTGTGACTTTGGTTGTGTTTAGTTCTGAAATGAAAAGTTTTGGATGTCACATCGAATGTTTCGGAGATGTCGAAAGAGGTTTTTAGATATTAATAAAAAAATTAATTACATAGCTCGCTTAAAAACTGCGAGACGAATTTATTAAACATAATTAATCCATCATTAACGCATGTTAGTTATTGTAGCACTTATGGCTAATCATAGACTAATTAGTCTTAAAACATTCGTCTCGCGATTTTCAACTAAACTGTGCAATTAGTTTTTTTTTTGTCTATATTTAATACTCTATGTATGTACCGCAAGATTCGATGTGATATTTTGGGGTGAAAATTTTTAGAAGTAAACCAGGCCTTTGCGAGAGTACAGGGTGTGCAGGCTCCCGGCATCACCGCCCTGTGTGTGCCAGTTCTACTATGCCCTGCCTTTGCGACAAAGCGAGCGGCCGGCACACTCGGCTTGGCCGTGCCGCCGTGCTGGATCGTTTCAGGCCACTAATTGATTGATTGCCGAGTGCCGGCCCACTCGCCGAGTGACAGATCGGTATGGGAGCCGGATTAAAACCGAGGCAGCACTGTGTGGAGGAGGAACGGTACACACGACACGACCGTGCTGAGTATACGCACGGCATTGAATGCTCAGTGACCAGTGCGCGCCAGCTTTGGAAACAAAATCTGGCTGTTTAACCACAGGTGAAATATGTATATCAGTACAATATGGACATAACTCAGGCTCAGCAGCTGGTAAGAAGTACGGAGTACCATGGCGGTGGAAAGATGCTTGAGTATTGATTGAGTTCATGCTTTGATTAGCTTAAAACCCATGCTTCGGTTAACACAAACATGGAAGGATTCAGGAGACGCTTGCAGCTTTTTTTCGCAGAGCTGAGAGCTCAAACGTCTAGTATAGACTAAGTATTAACCGTCAGTTTTTTTAAGAACCTGAAACTTTACTATCAAAAGCAGTGGGGGCTGGAAACCCCTTTTTCCGGGCCGTCAAAAAGAGCGAGTCCGTCCCCCCTCGCAAATCAAGAGCAGAAATCGCGCCATTAGCATAACTTTTTTGGCGGGTGACTGAGATGTGAATCGCGCGGGCACATGCCCTGCACGGTACGGTCCAGCGCGAGAGAGGAGGAGGAATTAAAGGCCGGGCGGGCGGGCCGGCCGGCGCTAAAGCGGTCGTCGAAAGCCCACCACCACGATCCGCGCCACAAAATAGTGCGGTGCGCCCAGCCCTTGTCGGCTGCCTCCGCCTCCGCTCTGCGCATATAACCGGACCCCAGCCAGCCCCGTGACGGCCTCAGTCCCCGAGGACGAGGAGCAGCAGGCAGCAGCTAGGTGCGGACAGGCAGCTCGCTCTCAGTAGCTCACAGTCTCACACTCTGCTGCCACTCCCCCTGTCTGAGCTCTGCTCTGCCTCTAGCCATGGCCTCGCGGATCTTCCTCCCGCTGCTGCTGCTGTTCCTCCTGCTGGGCTCGCATTGCTCTACCGGGGCGGCGGCGGCGGCGAGGCGGCAGCTGCTGCAGTCGCGGCGAGCCGGGGACCCGAACTCGCAGGTCAAGTTCGACTTCTCTCCGTTCCTCATCGAGTACAAGAACGGGCGCGTGAAGCGGCTGATGGGCACCGACGTGGTGGCGGCGTCCTCGGACGCGCTCACGGGCGTCACCTCCCGCGACGTCACCATCGACCCGTCCACGGGCGTCACGGCGCGGCTCTACCTCCCGAGCTTCCGCGCCAACACCCGGGTGCCCGTGCTCGTCTACTTCCACGGCGGCGCGTTCGTGGTGGAGTCCGCGTTCACGCCCATCTACCACGCCTACCTCAACACGCTGGCCGCCAGGGCGGGCGTCGTGGCCGTGTCGGTGAACTACCGCCTCGCGCCGGAGCACCCGATCCCGGCGGCGTACGACGACTCGTGGGCGGCGCTCAAGTGGGTGCTCGCGAACGCGGCGGCCGGCGGGTCGGACCCGTGGCTGTCCCAGTACGGCGACCTGTCCCGCCTGTTCCTCGCCGGCGACAGCGCGGGCGGCAACATCGCGCACAACCTGGCATTGCGTGCGGGGGAGGAAGGCCTGGACGGCGGCGCGCGGATCAATGGCGTGGCGCTGCTGGACCCTTACTTCCAGGGCCGGAGCCCCGTGGGCGCCGACTCCACGGACCCGGCGTACGTGCAGTCCGCGGCGCGCACCTGGAACTTCATCTGCGCGGGGAGGTACCCGATCAACCACCCCTACGCGGACCCGCTCGTCCTGCCGGCGTCCTCGTGGCAGCACCTCGGCGCCTCCCGCGTGCTGGTCACCGTGTCCGGGAAGGACCGCCTGAGCCCCTGGCAGCGCGCCTACTACGCCGCGCTCCGGGGCAGCGCCTGGCCCGGGGAGGCCGAGCTGTACGAGACCCCCGGCGAGGGCCACGTCTACTTCCTCACCAAGCTCGGCTCGCCACAGGCGCTCGCCGAGATGGCCAAGCTCGTCGCCTTCATTAACCGCGACTAGCGACCGGACTCCGGAGTACCTGCCGCCGCGGCAACCAGTAACTGCAGTCTTAGTAACTAGCGAGGGTGAGAGGTGATTGGTAGTAGTAGTAATTACTTTTTTGTCCTTGGTGATTACTGTGCGTCGGAAGGGAAGAGAAGAACGGTTCCTCCCCAGCAACCCGTCCGGATGGAATGGACAGGGGGACCGGTGTGTGTGTTCGTTTGCGCGCGTTGACTGCAGTCTACACTCTAGTACAGGCTAGCGTGCCGTGCACCGTGCTGACGCAGCTATATCTACCCGCTGCGTGTAGCGGTTACTGCCAGTTACAGTAGTCCCAGAGTATAATAGTAGTATAGAAGCGTCACTCTACTACCGACTGCATCGTGTAATTTTTGTGTGCTATGTATGGTGGTGATTTTGTCGGAGTGGTCATTTTTTTTACTACTATGGCAATCACATGCGCCGGCCACCGCGGTCCGCGGCGGAGAATGTGTGTCTCGCATAATTTTTTTTAAAAATCTCTTGGGGTGTGCGATTGTGTCAGTGTGTTTCCCGCATTCGGTGGCTCGATCTCGACCCCGACCCCGGCCGTCCGGCACTCCGGCGCCGGTGGTGATGGGGCTTGCCTTCGCGTGCTGCGCCGGTGCGCGAGCGCCTAATTAAGGTTGCGCCCACTGCCGCGGCATAGTTCCGGGACCACAGAGCGTGCGTGGTCGGCACCGCTCCTGCATTTAGGAGGAGCTGGCTCGTACATCAACGGCAAAACTCGAGGACAGGAAGGATGCGGTGCAGCAGGCCACTACGGCATCCTGTTCCGGTGCAAGACAGCCTTCGATCGGCAGCCAAGCTTGCGGAGGGAGAAGACTGCTCACATGGGGTGTTTATTGGTTCGCGGCACGCACGCTCCCAGTACTTTTGAGCTTGCGTTGCACTTGCACGAATATCCCATGTACAGCAGCAGTAGTAGCTTTCGTGGGTAGAAAAAGGATTCGGGCACCGGGGCACGCGGGTCGCTGGACACGGATTTCCGTGGGAAATTGCCGGTAATCAGCCTAATTTCCAGCACCTCCTTTCCAGTAACTCGCTCCTTCCGGTCCACTGACGGTACTCGGTACATGAGCTTTTGGCGTCCCGTCAAACTAAAAGCTGCGGCGCGGCGGCCGTGTATACTGCGGAGTGGCCGGTACGTCCAGTCCACGGGGGCGCGAGCCTCTGTGATTTCGCGGTCTCGTCGCTGTGCGATCGCGACGCGACCGGGCAGTAGTTTGGCAGGTACTCCGGGGGACCAGCGAGTGATTCGCAACGCGACGAGCAGGACCGGATGCGGCGCAGCTTTTACTCAGGGCCGGCCGGCCGGGGTGGCATGCGGTCGGTCACGTGGCGCGTCCGTCTCGGGCTCTCGGCGTGCCTGGGCCTCGGCCTCGCCCTCGCGGCCTGACTTTGCTTGAGCGCGTATCGGCGCATGTGAGTGTGATCGTCTTTTCTTGCGTTTTTCTTCCCTTTTTATGGGCGATGGCCTCGGGGTCCGACAGTTTGGTTTTGTTTACAGCCATCGTAACGCTGTGGGTGACAAACGTCGTAAAAATACTACTACCTGGCTACATGAGTGTGCACGGGTGGCACGCGCTCGCTTAGCATGGTTTAGGCGGGAGATTAGTCATCCCGACCTGTTTCTCTCATAGCGAGTTAGGCATACGTTGCATCAAAGTTCTATTTGTTCTCTTATCGGAAAACAAGAATTTTAGAATCTAACTTTTGAAATCGTCCGACTTACCTCGCTGAGTGATTTTGAAAGCGGTTCCAACTGATGTGCACACCACGTTAATTATGAGAGAGGTGATTTTTGAGATAGTTCAAAGATTCAATTAGACTTTATCAAAAAAAAATGTAGAAATAATTTTTTAAAAAACTCAATATTTTCTGAATAAAATGCATTTAAAATACTAAAACCTAGCTTAGTGTAGAGCTCGGCATCATAGTGTCAGTGGCGAAGTCAGGATTTAATACTTAGGCATTCCCACGTCCATATAAAAAAAATCGATTCGATAGGTTTAAAATATAATTTAGAGTAGCACGTTATCAATAATCAAAGATAAAAAAATAGTCAAATAATAAGTTGCTTAGCTAATCAGCTCTAATATATGTAACAAACTAATAAGTAACAAACACAACTTATAAAATACTATAATGTTGCTTCAACCTTGCCATTCTTCATGGCTTCGAAGCGGTTGATGATGTCTTTGTCATTAACTTATAGAAAGAATTCCAGCTCAATAAATATAACCAAGCGATCATTCAAGTATTGATCCCAATCTTATTTCTTAATTTGTTCTTCACATAATTCATGATAGAAAATACTCTTTCAACACTTGCAGTTGCTACTGGAAGCACTAGCACCAATTTGAGAAGCCTGTAAACAAATATATGCCTTTGATGCTTGTTTGTATCAACAAGCTTAATGGAAGGCTTAGCAAGACTTCTCACATTTCTAAATCTTTCATCATTGTGCATATCAATAATGTACAAATTAAGTGTATCGGGAAGATGTAGCAACTCTAAGGTTGAGAAATCCCTAGGATAAAATCCAACAAGCTTAATAAATTTGTCTTCGTCAAAAGCAACAAATGAATCGATAGAACTTAATGCAGCCATGCAAACGAGCAATTCTGTGTTTACCTCATCAAACCTTTCATTAAGCTTGTGAAGCTGCGTATCAATGAGACTAAAGAACATGTCAACACGGTAACGATGGAGTTTCTTTATCTTGATAAAGAACCTCCTATCCCTTTCTATATGCCTATAGAATGTGTCCATATTGGAAATTTTGATTTTATTCTTGACACAAAAATGAGTCCACTTCTTTAAGGAAATCCTCCCACCCAACATCCTCCCGCAATTGATACAATTTGTAGCTTGGTCAAAGAAATAAGTTCTACTGCATTGACAATATCTTGATCATTCTTCTGCAAGGCATGATTCAAGTCTGTTGTGAACCCTAGGACTATTTGCATCAAGTGTGACATGAAAACAAACTCGTATGGCAAAAATATTGTCAACACAGTTTGTGCCTGTGAGCACTCAAACTCATATGACTGAAATATTGTCAACCTTTATGAGACCTTTCCGAATTGAAGGATACAAAGATAAAAGATACATAACAATTTTATAGTGAGATCCCCAACGAGTATCTCCATGCCTTTCCAAACCCATTTCTTGATACAAAACCCTTTCTAGTTTCAATGTCACATATTCTAGAGCTTATACAATTCTCTAAGCTTGTGCTACTCAAAGCATTTGTGTCTTCTTACAAGAATTCCCAATAAGGTTCAACAGAAATCTACCTTGATCAAGGAACCAAACACAATCTGGGTTTTCCTTAGCAATTGCCACAAGAGTTATCTGAAGTTGATGTGCAAAGTAATGAACATAGTAAGCAGATAGACAATCATTCATAATGAGTTTCTTGAGACCATTAGCATGACCCTTCATGTTACTAGCTCCATCATAGCCTTGTCCACGTACCATAGATAAGCTCAATGAATGCTTCATCAACAATTTCTCAATTGCTGTTTTAAGTGTCAAAGAAGTAGTGTTCTCGACATGAACAACACCTAGAAACCTCTAACAATCTATTGCGCCCTAGGAAGCCCTCGCGTCTCCTGTCTAGCGACTCGGCCACCGCCGCCACCCCTTGCCACCACCACCGCTGGTCCCCCTCCCTCCCCCCTCCGGCATATCGCCAGAGGCCGGAGGGAGTGGGGATCCATCGTTTTTAATAAGTTTTTTCAGTAGTGTTGACACCGAAATTTGGTTCGAGATAAGGAGACCATAAGGTCAAAAACTTATCAAGGGAAAGCCGAGATATTTAGCAAGATTGGCTAACTAAATTGCCATCAACTGGATAAGATGACGTCATCATTTCAAGGGAATGGGCCCCATTGCTAGGAACGACAAGATATGAAATGAGAAGATGCGTCGGACTTCATAGAAGGGAAAGATTGAGGTCCAAGTTATCATAATTTTGGAAGCTTTGTTTCTTTTCCAAGTTTTGTATCTGGTCTTGTTCGGCCAGGACTCGTAGTCAAGCCTAGGGTATAAATATTGAACCCCGACTATTGTAACAAACATCTCAACGATCAATCAACAAACAATACCTTTACCATTCAGCTTACACCACCCCTAGGAGTGAGAGTAGAGTAGATCTCGGTGAATTCTTTTGCAAGCAGGGCTGCCATCGGTTAAGTCCGACCTCCGATTTGTCTATGAGTATCCGTCATGACTTATATTTTGTTTGTAAGGCTGCCCTCGGTTGCAAACACGGTGTAAGTTAGTTATTATCGGTTAATTGTAAGGTTGCATCGGTGTTGGTATTTATAAGTGCAAATAAAATATGAAGGATTCCGCAAGTACACAGAATACACAGAATACCATTGTAGCATTTTACCGGGAGTATTCTAGGTATCGTTATTTATATTTTACCATAGGAAAACAATGGAGTAAAGACTTATTAAATATCAAAGGAGTATTTATCAGTCAACATACCAGCATGGCTAAAGCATGGGTGAAGGTAATGATAGGAATTAAGGATAATGATACTCATGGGGTAGATCTATAAGATAACGTAAACTAGTCAACTCGGGAGAGCAACGAGTGAGGTAGATTCCTATGGCATTCTTTTTACATGGTCAAAGTATATATACATCCAACTATAGTTAAGACTAACTCTACTCTTGTGCACTTCGGAACGCTGCTTAGCGGTAGAGTACCCACAATAGATAACTCTACCGACGCGACTACGGTCCTACAATCTAAGAACCTACTCAATTCGAGTGGACTACAAAGGATAGACGAGGCTGTCACCTTCCGCTGCTACCACCCAACTAGAGAACATGGTGTACTCATAGGCAGAGCATCATATAAGCACCATGCTTACACGAGACTCGGCTACTTAGCCCAATCGATAAGCTAGCATGCTAAGCGCTCTATGAACCCGCACACAAATGTAAAGATAACCTAAA